GGGGGGGGGGGGCCGTATTGAGTGGGACTCACAGAGAGTCATTAGATTACTTGAGCCCCACATACCATTGCGCTTCTTCATAGGCAGATCCCCCAATTTGAAGATACCCCTAGTGCAGCCCTAGCCTACGGGGCGTAGTACATGCAGCTTCTCATTGTGTGAGAGAAAATGTTGTTCTGTCGGCGTCCACTGTGCGTCCTGCGTTCACGAATGAGTTTGCGCGAAAGTAGCCGGTCCATTCCTGGTCAGAGGCCGGCAAGCCACTATGATTAAATCGGCTGAAGCCAATGGAAATGAAAGACCTGGCACATGTGGGAAAGCCTCACTGCCTCTAGGTAGGATGACATGCTGGAGGCTGGGAAACCAAGCACTACAGTAGCACTTTCTTCGGTGCAGCAGTGAAACTGCTTGAAACTCCTGCTCCCTTACCTGGAGCTGGAGGTAGAGGCAGGGAAATGGGTCGTGGCAACGAAGGGAGGGGTGGTGGCATTTTGGAACTTGGCCGGCAGTTTCCAGGCATCTCGTTGTTTGGATCCTTGGGGGATTCTGCTTGACCGGCAACGCCCTCCTGTGTCTGCGTGGAAACAGATGGGTTGACACCAAGCTCCGGGCTGTGCTGCGCAAGGAGAGAGCACTGAGTTTGTAAGTTCAGGAGTGCATTCTGCAGCTCAACTATCGCCATTCGAATAGCCACAAGGTCTGCCGTCCCTCCGGTCACATCCTCAGCGTCTATGTGAGTCAGCAGCAGCTGCGCCGTTGGTAGCTGCAGAGTCTCAGTGATGTGCCTGGCAAATGCCTGTCTTGCTTCCCGCATCGTCGCCTTCTGCGCGGCTGAGGCTTTGGCCAAAGCTCCGTGACACAACCAGAAGGTCTTGTGGACGCTGCAATGGCTCTCTAAGGACAGACGGTCATAGCTGCTGCCACGTAGGCGCATAAGTCCATCCTGCAGCTCAGAAATTGAAATGCTTCGAACCTGATCTCTGTTCATGATGTTGCTGAGGTCCTCGATTTTCTGCGGTAGGGCAACTTTCATGGCTTTGAGTATGGCCATTGCCTGGGAGGACTGCAGCAGGTCCAGCAATTCTTCCTGTGATATGTCTGGGGCTTTCCCTACTATGTCTCGGTACAGCTGGGAGATGCGGTCTCGTAGCCCCGTGCGCTTGAACTCTGCCTCCTCCAAAGTGTCTGGAGGCTTGTTAGCCGCCAGAAGTAACACTCGCTCGCATATCACGCCAGTTACAACGTTCAGTATGGCAAAGTTGCTAACCAGCAAAAATGTTACAACATAGACTCCCCAGAAGTAGGAGTTCAACATCATCTGGGTGGCAATGTCTGGCCAAGCCTCAATCAACACCAGCTGGATGTGTGTCAAAAAGCCTTGGAAGAGGCTTTCGAAAAGGTTCCGCCCATGCTCACTTGAACCTAGAATCTCGCAGCAGAGCAAAGCGCCTGCATAGCAAAGAGCCGTCAGTAAAATCATGACATCTAAAATAGCAATGAATGTGCTGAACATTCCCTTTACCAGCATTGCAAGCGCTGGAAAAGTTTGAAGCAGCCGGATGATGCGGAGTAGTCTGAACGTTCGAACTGTGTGTAGCGATGAGCTCGACGTGCCCGCAGAGCTTGCCTCCAGAATATAAAATGCCGTATGTGCAAGAGTGGCCACCAGGACAACCGCGTCAAAGACCCCAGCGATTCTGAAGTAGTATACCTGGTAGCCAATCAACATACATATGCCCGAAATGGTGACTACACAACAAACATCCATCAAGACTCCTCTTAACCTTTACAGGGATCCTCAAGAGTTCCCCAACTGCCCCACCTGTCCAAGTGCCTGGCTGCGGAGGCAGAACTCAACTGAAAAGAGAATAAGAAAGAGAAGCTCCAGCACTGCAAGCACATAAAGTGCTGTGCCCAACCTTTCCAGCAGTCCCTCATCCGACTGCTGTGCTTCAAATCCAAGTTCTATCCCAAATGCTACAGACTGCAGCAGGATCAACATGCCAAAGACCTGGTTCGACTCATCTGAGAGAATCCAGTGAGATCCCACGAGGACTTTGCGCACATGCTCCTCATGTATAGCATCCAGCCGCAGCCACACTGGAGAGTTCTGGACATCTAGGAAAGAAGATGACTTCGACCGCAGCTTCTTCATTGTGGACTGCCTTATTCTGAAAGCCTTCCTTGTGGGGACATTCACCGAAGTGTGGCTGGCTGAGCTTTCTTGGGAATCCTCATCCTGTAGCTCGGACTGTGGCACATCCATCATCTGGCAGCAAGCTCAGGCAATTCAGTTGCCTAAGGATCTTAAACGGCTGTGGCATGCTGTGGCTGTCTTTGCAAGGTCCAGGCATCTTAGGTTGCCATGTGGGTGGTTGTCAAAATTGGGGTCCCTTTTTGGGTACCCTAAATAAAAGGGACCATAATTTTGACAACCATCCATGTGGGAACTTACTTGCAATCTTCCGACTTGCTTGATTCGCTTCCCCTTCCTCCCCTTTTTGGGCCGAAGTCTTGCGAGGTGCAAATCGCACAAAGGGTTAGACGGTCAGACCTCAAACAGCAGCCCGCTTTGGTCCAAGTGGCACACTGCTTCTTCAGGAGGTCGGGGGCTGTGAAAAGCCTCCAGCGACGAAGTATTTGCCAAGCCACACTTTCCACAATGAGGGTCTCATTGCCTCAGGCGCTGTTATGGACTAAGTGGAGGCAAACAAGATGAGTGCACGGTACAAAGACTGGGATCATGACAGATACAAGTCTGTAAGTACCAGCTAATCGCTTGTCGAAGTCCCAATTCATACGAGCTACAGTCTTAACTCCTAGTATGCCCCCTAAAATAACCCCTGTAGTAGTCCCCTATATAACCCCTCTTCGAGGAGTCTAGAATAGGTTCAGACGAGTGGAAGAGGGGGGCCTCTTCCATGGATTAGCTTTTTGCTCTGAGGCGAACAAGAACAAGGCAAAGTCAAAAGAGTATTGCAAAACCCAGGCAGGATTTCCGTAGCTACCGAGACGACACTGCATTAACGAATGAGTGGAAAAGGAAATGGAAACGACTCCCTTATGGTTTAGGAGCTTTAGGACATAGGCTGGAGGGCTTGGGATGCAAACAAATCAAGCGTGGAAGACCATTGAACATTAAATGGGAATTGTTTCTTTTCAAGGTGTTTATAGGATTGCAATGCAAGCGCCTCGAAGGTTTGGAGTATACTACACTGCAGCGAGGAAACCATTCCTAAGGAATAGTTTCACTAACTCTTCAGCCTGCTAGATTTCTCGGTGGCTTCCGACCAAGGGAGCATGACAGCATTCACAAGTCTTGCCAACGCTATGGCTGCTACTTTGCCGCGTACAGTATTGCCACTACTACCAGATTACCACTCGTACCAATCTTAATGTGTAGCAGTATTGCTATTCTTATAAGTATTACTATTGCCGCTAGAGTTACGATGAGTACTATGATTGCCACTAATCATTCTTAATCTGATTCCTACTGCTACTGCTGCTGCTGCTGCTACTACTGCTACTGCTACTACTACTACTACTACTACTACTAGTAGCAATAATATTGCTACTATAGCTCTTAAAGATTATTTCTTCTGCTGCTAGTACAGTGCTGGTTCTGCTTAAAATAACATGTCCAATGCCCCGTCTAGCCTAATTGAGAAAATGAGTGCCCCCTCAATTTTCAACCTCATTCTCTTTGCTGTCAAGCGCTTGAGGCCCTTCACCCACAAGATTAACAAAGTCAGCGTTGACTTTTCTTTGGGCTTAGGGAGGCTGCTTCTCGGTCTTGCACTGGATTCCAAGGATCCTTTTTTGAAGCATTGCTGGCACCGAATATTACATCAATATGAGACATTCTAGCACTACCCAAACCACAGCCACAATATTACGAAGGTGATAGCGCTGCTGGCCTAACGTGCTTCTCAGTGAGAGGCAGCGCTACGAAAATGAGTGGCCATTGGAGTCTCAGAGCCGTAATCTCCTGGTAATTCAAGCGAAGGACATTTGGCCCTCTGAATCTGCGGGGCCATGTAATAATCCAACGCTCACGCTGTATTACCCAATCAATGTTACGACTCTGAGCCCAGCACTTGCCCAGTGAGCCGGCGGAGACCAGCGCCCAGCCAGCTCCTCTTGGACAAGACTTGCATGAGCCTGCGCGTGAAATCTGAATCGGTAGACTAAAGCTTCGCAGACAATATCGAAAGCTACCACGAGCCCAGAAGAAAATTACCCGTGCCGGGCTGGCCTTGCGTGAACCCTTTACAAATCCGCAACATGCCCACGAACCTTCCGCTTCTGTGAAAACACACGCAGCTCAGGGTTGGACGTAATTGTGAGCATAGGCCACAAAGCTTGTTGAAGCAGTCACACAGAGCCCACACACGAGTGATGTTATGCATGTGTGTAACCCATATCAGCTTTCATGCGTCACGATCTGGATGATCATAACCATAATTGCATCGGACTTCAACTAGGGCTTCCTCAAAGGAGTCGTCCTTCAAAGGATCCTAAAAAATCTGGTGGATGAAAGGGGTATTTGGGAGTCTCAACTACAGTCACACTGAACCCTAAACCCTAAACCGCGTGAGGTAACTTGAGCAACTTCCAACTATGTTGTGGGCGCCTGCAAGAGTTCCTGCTTGTTCACCTCGTCAGTTGCCCACGGCTGGTGGATCCACAACTGGCTACCCTCGCTCACAGTGAAGCCAGGGTGAAGGCCTCTCAAAAGGATCAGGGTTTAGGGATCTTCAAAAACCCTGGAAACATGGGCACTGTAAGGAGATTAATGGGCATCTTGCCATGAATTTCATAAGGGCTGTTTTGAGGAACCACTGAAGTTGTTGCTTTGAGCTTGCTCGAAAAGAAAACACATATGTTGCACCCTGACAGTTAGGTTCTTGACAGCAAAGGGCCCCTAACCCCAATATGTAGCTTCTGTACAGTTGTTTAGGGCTTAGCAGCCGCTTCCAAATAGGAACACTGGGCTTCGAAGGCAGAACCCTGGTTATGCAGGGCTACTGCGCTGAAACCCCCTGTACTTCTGAGATGTACAACAACGAAGCTATACGGCTTGCTCGGTTGGGGTCCAGGCTTCTAAACCCTAAACCCTAAACCTTTAACCCCCTAAACTCATGGTGACACTTGTGGCAGCTACCCAGGTGCCTTGCACCTCCGTATCTCGTACCAGCCATGCTGCGGACACCTCCTGGCTCCTCAGCTTGAGGCAGTTTGCGGCTGTTGCTGGATGAGCAATACTTACAGGTGGTTAGTATGGAGTAAGGGAAGATACTATATAGGGATCTTATTCCCTTACTCCCTACTGAGGGAAGGTAAGAATATTGAATGGAAATGGCAACGAATTGGAAATTGAGTTCACCAAAGCAGCACTAGGCGCGGTCTTGCCCAAGTCTGCAGGGCTGCATGACGCAGATCCGCGCCCACACCCAGACCATCTGCAAGAATGCAGAGCATGGCCCATCACATTCACTACACATGGCCCAGGTCGAAAGGCATCCCTAAGCCCAAAACCCGATGCATTGCTACTGGCACCCTTTGGCAGGTCAGTAAGAGATGGTAGCCATAGACATAACAGTGTTCCACTGAAAGCTAAGCAAGTCCATAGCCCTTTCGATAACTTGCGAACGTTTCTAAATTTCTGACGTTCCTTTGGATTTCGGTGGCTGTGAAGCATTCTAGACAGGTGTGTCTGGCCAGGATACTGGCTCCGAAAGCACTGCCTGGAAGCTCATAAAGCTCCAAGAGTCACATCTCTCTAGCTGCTTCTTAAGTGGCAAGGAGGCAAATTGCAACAATGCCTTCAAATGAGCCTGCTACTGTTACCCTTCAAGAAGCAAATGGTAGTTTCCCAAAATAGGGGGACCCCAATATAGACCCCAAAATACTATAGTCCTTATTATTGTGACCCCCAAAATGGTACCCCTAATTTTGGGAACCCCCCAAATATTCAACCAACATCATATTGAGGCGGACTGCGGAGCTTGGGCCGAAAGCTGACTCTCTGGGCTCTATTGGGGCTCTATTGGGGTTATATTGGAGGTATTGGGTCATATTAGGGTAATATTAAAAGACTGGGGTATTGGGTTATATTAGGGTAATATTAGGGTTATATCGGATCCACAGGACTTGGGAGTGGCCCCTAGCAAGGGAGCCCTACAGTGACTCAGTCTAAGCAGGCCATACAACCCCTCATGCACTCCAGGTTCCGCAATCTATATCGTAATTGCAAGACCTAACCTCAAGGGTTCGTTGCAGGGCACAGGCTGGAGCGTGTTCAGGCAGACTAAATCCTCAACCCTAAACCCTACATGATGAGGGAAGGTCCATGGGCAGTGAGTTCTTTGGGCTCGCAAGTGCCTGGTTTGCTATTAAGGAACTTAAGCTAAGTTACCACAATATGGAATATATTGTAAATGATGGGTTCCCTCTACTTAATGGTAACTCAAGTCAAGTTCCTTGCCAGCAACCCAGGTGCCTCCTGTCACCCAGCATATGTGCAACTCTGCACCAGCGTCCAGCATCATTAACTGGTTCAGATGCTCAGAAAGCCTTCTTGCGGACTTGTGGCATCTGGTGACAACCTACCATGGTCCGTGACCCCTAAATTTCCACCATCTCCATACTCCTATACGCGGATTATCTGCAGGCGCTAGCATAATCTCAGAACTTTCTCTCATCCCCGTTATGAAGTGAGACCTACGGAAAAGTCGGAGCTGCAAAAGCCCCTCTCTCAGGAAATCTTTTCAACCAGCTCCTTCCCGGAGACGCGGATGCTGACCTCGGGTTTTGGCCATTTGGGCAGTGCTTGTTTTGGTGGCCAACCCATTGCACTGCAACCCAGAGGAAGATTCGATCTTACGCAGACCTTAGTATAATAGATAAAAAATGAGATGAAGAACAATAGTAGAACTAAAAGTAACCTTAGTATTCCTATGAAAACACTACTGATGCTAAGCTACAACCTGAAAACCTGGAGCCATTTCCATCATGTCTACCATGGACCCCCTCAGCGCGTGGGCCCCCCATGGATTGAGGCCGAACTGGGGACCATGACTTTGAGAGAGTTTACAAACTTTTCGGAGCTTGCACGTTGGTTCGGGCTGGTGCATATTGGGAGACTCCCTGTAATCCGATGAACCTAGACTCGAGCAACACAGATTCATATTTGAAAATCCCGGCCTCAGCACGTAACCCCAGAGCTTCTAGAGATTATACAGAAGCTGTGAAGTTCTGTTTGGGAATATCATGCTAGGAAACTCAAGTTCTGCACTTGAGGCTCTGGCCCAGCCTTTTACCGGTCCAGTACCTTCTTCAAGCCTGGCGAACTGGGCCCTTTCTTTGCTCAAAGTACATGGGGCTGAAGAGAGCATCTCAGCCCTAGGAAAAATCAAGAATCTGGGTGATTTTCATGTGTAAGCCTTCAAGGTGAGCCCTAAAACTGGACCCCAAAAGTAGGTAAAATAATGGCCCAAAACGGTTTAGGGTTTAGGGTTTAGGGACCTCCAAATGTAGCCCACAAGGCCATTATTCTACATACTTTGGGGATTTAGGTAAAAGTGTCCCACATCTTCACATGGAATGCTGCCGGACCCCCCCCCCTTGCATGGCGCAGAGAGCGTTCATGTGAGCTATAGTCTAAACTCCTAGTATCCCCCTTAATAACCCCTGTAGTAGTCCCCTATATAATCCGCTATATGATCCCCCTTGAAGCAGTTGAGACTATAGTACAAGAACCCCAAACCCTAAACCCTATATATTTATTATAGTAGTTTCCACTTTATTTTCCATTATCACAATAATACCCATATAACCCATTATAGTAGTTTCCATTTTATTTTCCATTGCTTCAGGATGCTGATGTACATGTGGCCTGTAGCAAAGCCTGTCTCCAACTCTTGCAATCTCCTCGACTATGGCTCCCGTGCTCACCTGCAGTCGTCATGAAAAAATGGGGTTCCCCCAAATTTAGGAGTACCCTTAAAGGGCTTTATAGGGGTTATATAGGGGTTATCTAGGGATAATGGAAACGAAAATGGAAGCTACTATTTAGGGTTTAAGGTTTAGGGTTTCCCAAAATTAGGGGATATATAGGGGTTATATAGGGATAATGGAAAAGAAATGGAAGCTACTATTTAGGGTTTAGGGTTTCCCAAAATTAGGTGTACCTTTTTGGGGGTGGGACTTTAGTATTTTGGGGTCTACATTAGGGTCCCCTTATTTTGGGAAATTACCAAATCTGCCAGGCTTCATCAACCTTTTCTCAAAAAGGCAACGAGCCATATGGGTGGTTGTCAAAATTATGATCCCCTTTTGGGCACCCTAAATACTAGGTGCGGTATTATAACAGGGAACCAAAAAAGGGACGATAATTTTGACAATCACCTCTATAACCCTAAACCTTATAACCCTAAACCCTGAACCCCTAAACCCTAAACCCTAAAATCCTAAACCCCAATGTCTAAAGTACTATCCTGTAAGCGCTGAGGCAGTGGCACGGCCAAGGTCAGCGGATTTCAACGACTCGGACTGTCGCACTATGATGCCACCCTTGTCCGAGCCTGGCATGGAATTTCAGGAATGGAAAATAAAATGGAAGCTACTATAATGGGGCTATATGGGTATTCTTGGGATAATGGAAAATAAGATGGAAGCTGCTGTTAACATGAATTTCAGGATGATTTTGGCAGAGCACTCTCTCCTCTAATGTTCTTCATGAAGCTATAGGGGTTACATAAACCCTATCTAACCCCTATGTTCCCCATAGATTCCGTTTTCTTTTCCATTACCTCTATATAACCCTAAATCTACCCCATAGTCCCACCTAAACCTAAACCCCAAACCCCAGTCCCACCTCCTGTAATCTTCCATCGCGGAACAGCCGGAACGTTCTCCGTAACTGGAGCCGGCCCATCTCTGGCAGCTTTGAAGGGCTCATCAGCATCCTGAAGCAATGGAAAATAAAATGGAAACTACTATAATGGGCTATATGGGTATTATTGTGATAATGGAAAATAAAATGGAAACTACTATAATGAATATGTAGGGTTTAGGGTTTGGGGTTCTTGTACTATAGTCTAACGTCCTTAAAGGAGGTTATATAGGGGGATTACATAGGGGAGTATTGTAGGGGTTATGAAGGGGAGTTTAGACTAGGGCCCACAAAGGCAGGTTTCAAGATGTGCGGTCTTTTTGGAAGGTTGCTGCGCTAAGGGCCCTAGAAATTCTTGGTCAGGATGTGCAGACGCAAGCCAGCCATGTCAACAGGTCGAGGATAACCATCGCCTCGCCAGCCGGGACAACGCCAAGGTCAATGATGTCATGATCCTGCGCGCATGCCATGTGATTGATGCATTGAGGTAAGGCACGCATTCACAATCCCCCCCGAACTGGATGCTCCCACTGACCAATGTTCCCTGGAACCCCTTCTGCGTTTACCCGACATATAGCATGTTAGAATCACAAAAGATCTACCTTGGGTCCTGCCCCCACCCATTAACAGTCTGTAATAGGGGTCATATTAAGGGCGATATGTAATCACATTGTAGTTTTTATCTGACTGCTAATGCGTGGGGGCAGTACCCAAGATCTACCACAGGTCTTGATACTTTAGCAACTCCAGGGCAATCAGCCGAACAGCCACATTGGGGTTTCGTTTAGGGTTCAGGGTTTTTGGGGTCTATAGGGTGTCCCAAAAAGGGTCCTCTTTTTGGAGCCCCGATCATTGTATGGCATCATGGTATGCTGAGGTCTATACTAGGCTCCCTTCATTTTTGGAACTAAACCCTGAACCCTTAAACCCAGACTCCTGGTCACCTCCGCTGGGGCCAAGGTAATGGAAAATGTAGATGGCCTAAGGCGCGCAGATGTCAAATCTAGGTACTAATTCCCCCCCAATACTAAGCCCCCCCTAATACTGAAGATCTACTCATCGTGGTGTACCAGAATATATTGGGAATACTTAACATAAGGGGACGGGGTGTTTAAACATTACTGTAAGTGGGGAGAATCAAGCCGAGGCCAGTCTGGGAGATTATCTAGAGCACTGGACTGCCCAAGTGCTTTGCTTGCACATCCTACCAGTACAGGGTTTGCCATGAAAATGTGTTGCATAGGATTGCTCCACCCTCCACTGACTACTAGGAGGTTCAAAGAAACCACAACTCAACCATAACTGGTTTTTATAACCCGATTTTAAACAGATCACGGGACTGAGAGCGTTTATTGTTGGGCTGTAGGTACAGCTATAACTAGCTTGTACTTGCCCCAGGCCTTCAACTAACCCGAAACCCCAGACCCAAATACAAACACAATCTGGTGGGTGCCCAGCGAGCGGATCGACCAGCTCAGTGTTCTTAAGAGCAGCTCCATCTCGGCCTGACGTGAGCGGGTTTAGGGGCTTAGAGTTTAAGGGTTTCGGGTTTAGGTGGTTGGAGGGCTTAGGGTTTAGGATGTGTTTTGGAGATTATATGAGCTATAGTCTAAACTCCTAGTATCCCCCTTAATAACCCCTGTAGTAGTCCCCTATAAAATCCCCTATATAACCCCCCTTCAAGGAGTTATAGCTCATATCTTTTATTGAATATTGTAACCGAAGGGAGATTACAATCTTACTGGATTTAGGGACTACTGTATCCCTATTGAAGATACTATGCACATGGGCTGCAGTCAGATTCCCTTGCATGGACAAGGAAGATGGGAGCTAAATTAGGGACCACACCGAGGACGATACTTCAAGCAGCTCATGTGATGGAATGAAAATTGGGTAGTTTCCCATGATAAGGGGACCCCAATATAGACCCCAATATATTATTACACCTAGTTTTGGGAAACCCTAAACCCTAAGCCCTAAATAGTAGCTTGCATTTTCTTTCCATTATCCCTATATAACCCCTATATATCCCCTAATTTTGGGAAACCCCCATTTGGTGTTGTTCCGAATTCTCGAGGTCTACTGCATGATTTGCAGGACCAGTTGCTCTCAAAATCCTGGGTCCTTTTTGTCCATGTACCACTACTTTGCACCCAGCTGAGTCCCAGGCATAGATCAAACCATGCCGCATGCTCTGGCGCAGAAGACGTCATTTTCCCTTGGCAGCTTAGACCCAGAAAACGACTCGGGTTATATTGGGATTATACTGGGGTTATATTGGGGTTATATTGGGATTGTGTAGGGATAGTGGAGAAGAAAATGGAATCTACTGTAGTATATTGGAGCTAAGGAATAGAACCCCAAAATGGCAGCAATCTATGTGAGGTAAGGAACACTCTGAAATCAACCGTCCTTTGATCATGGGGATAGTACTCTGTCACCTCCAACCTAGCATGTTTCAGGGCTTGGGGCTCAGAACTTGCAAGCTGAGATCTTTTGGTCAAGATGCTCTTCAAGTCCAGCACAGTCGTAGCTGCGTCGACTTCGAAATCGTGCGTCCACTCCTAGTGATAATAGGAATAACAGTAACAATAATGATAATAATAATAGTGATAGTAATGGCAAGGTTAATAACAGTAGTAGTAGTAGTAGTAGTAGGAGGCCACTGCCAAGAAGATCAGCAACTACACAGATGAATGAGGGTTTAGGGTTTGGGGAGGGGTTCGAAAAAGTATTGGTTCCACAAGAAGGGCGAAACTCTTATGTGGGGGGCTTGAACAGCGCGAAAAGCTTGGCAAGGCTTGCCTGCTCTTCATGCTTGAACGACACAGTTGCACGCGGCATCGCAAAAGAAATTAATTGACGTATGGGCTGCTGACCTGCTTGAGCCATATACATGCGTGCAGACCTGGCAGCTCCACTAGCAATCATACTAAACCCTGAAGAGTAGTTTCCAATTTATTTTCCATTATCCCAATCTATCCCAATATAAACCTAATATAGCCCCAATATAACCCTAACATTACCCTGTCTCCAAACTAGGTTGCTTGGGGTCCCGTAGCCCATGAGAGGCACAGGAGAGGCAAAAGCTTTGCGCATGAAAGCTCTGCAGCTTTTTTCCAATTCGAAATGCATGGATTTGTCGCCTGCCTCAAGGCAGTTTGCCTTAGAGAGCCAAGAGAGTAGCCAAAAGAAGCATCACACATGGGCATTGTCCAAAAAGGTGTGGTTTTTATGCTGAGAAGTGGGTTCCCTACTGTAGGGGCCCCAACAGGCACCCACAGTCTTGAGAAACTGAAACGCCTAAGTATACGCCCTCAGGATGCTCCCACTCAAACTCCTACACATGCCTTATCAAAGCACTCGCCGAAAAGGGCCGGGCCTATACATGTTGATCAAACTCTATTCCCTAAATGTCCTAGTATCTGTAGCTTGCCAGGTAAACATCCAGGGTACAACCCCTACAAGTGTTTTCTGAAAAGGGAGCCTCAGTTAGGAGAACCTAGGCAGGTAGCGCTCTGTACCTCTGAGGGCTTGACCAGTAAGGACAACCTCGAATGGCAGCAGTTTAGGGCTAGGAGAGAAACGTCTATATTTCCTGCTGCAATCAACACTATGTTGACTGTGACTGGTATTTTGCTGGCACCACACTTGCATGCGTTGATCTTATCATGGCTGCTACTTCCATCTTTGATGATGAGGCCGCCGCCAATCCATAGGAAACCAGGCCATATGCAAACGTCAGTCCAGAAAGAGTGAGGGCAGCCTGGAGCATCGGGTTGAGGCTTGGTATCATTATAATAATACCCGATCAGAAAAAAACGCACCAGCAAAGATTGCTTGTGCTGGTGCGGCTGTTGCTGCTGGCTGCGCCGATGGCGACAGCGGCAAGCACTTGCGGTGCTGGTTGTACTATTAGCGCTTTTGGTGGTTGTGTTTTTGCTCTTGCTACTATGTTGGGCGTCTGTGCAACCGGAAAAAGAACGCTCTCACGCCACCTACAAAGGCTTAAAAGGTCTCCAACGAGAAGTACCCTTCTGAAAAGGCTGATGCACTGAATGTCGCGTGTCCCCGAGGACCTTCAGGCTGAACTCATTGGCCAGAGCGTCGAGATTATCATCTAGGACCTCATTCAAGTTGCTACGTTGCGAGATGCTACCGGGATGATACAAGGCAAAAAAAATGTTTTGTGGATGTGAGGATCACATGTGGTATCTTCAGCAGTAGCGTGCACAAGGGATTATAGGTTGACACCAGATTATACTGGGGTCATGATGAGGAGGATATCAGAATCAGTACCATAACGGGACCCTCAAAGTGGGTAAAATAGGGGCCCTTTTGACAAATTTCATGGGTTTGGCCGCAGTTTGGCCCATTCTCTTAAACTACTTTTCAGGGCCACGTAGCTGGCAGAATACAATGAGGAAGTTCCAATTAGCAGTAGCCAAAAGGATGGGCCTGGTCATTGCTGGAGCATTTTCTTATCCCGCGCTGGCGCCACCAGGCCGTCGAAAGAACAAACAACAAGCCTATAAGAATAGAGCGAATTTCATGATCCTTGGAAGGTACCAAAAACCGGTCAACACAGTAGAAGCAACGCCTACTCCAAAAATGCCCAAGGGCTCAGAACAAATAGAGCATACTCCAAGTTCCACTGGAAAGGTCCGGAGATTGGACTCACAATGTTTGGAAACAAGCCAAAATTTTGGATTTCTCAAAAATTTAGCTGTTTGGGGTGCCTCTTGACAGGATTCTGCAAATTTGACGTGGAAAATCTTGGAGAAAGCCAAGGCAACGACCCAGCGCACATACCTGGCCATGAATCTGTGGGATTCTGTAGGGTTATACAGGAGTTGTACTGGGATTACATTGGGCTATGTAGGGATTATACGGATGTTACCCCAATATGGAGAACCAAATTGTAGACAAGACAATGGATATGAAAGGAGACTACTGTTTAGGGCAAAGGGCTAAGCGGGTTGAAATCCACAAAAAGGCAATGCAAGTCATGAAATGAGATGGAAGCGGGGGCTTCCACGGACATACAAAGCTTAGGGTTTAGGGTTCAGATGTTGGTTGTCAGTAGGGAATGAAGGATTGTAAACGAAAATGGGCACCACCATTAGGGATTATAGAACCCTAAACCCGAAGCCCTAACCTCCAATCCATTCAGTCCTTCCCTCTTAACAACCAATAAGTGGAAGAGAGTGACCAGGTCTTAACCATGGGCCTCTGGAGGCCCTTGCCTCTTTGTTGGGACCAACGTTGTGTGACAACACATAGTAGGCCTTTTAGGATCCCAAATTGAAGCCCTGATCTGATTCCAAACCTTACACAGTGGGGAAGAAGTCGTAGTAACAGCAGAGGAGTAACGAGACAAGGTGTGCTGCCGTCGTGGTACTTCTGCTAGGAGGATGATCGGATTGTGATGGGACGGGGATGAAGGGAAGGCACATGGTCAGGGCTGAGCAATTCGAGGGTCCGATGCTTTTGCACACAGCAAGGATGTAAACTCAAGGACAGCATATAGAAGTTGCTATGTACTCGGACCCTCGAAGAAGACTAGAGACTAGAGCCTGTCTTAAGGGCTTATCATCAGAAGGGCTGCGGGCTTGGGACTCATAAGGAATCCATACGAAGCCTTAGTCATGGGCGGCCCTTGATAAGAAGTCTTTTTAAGGACTCCTCTGTTCATGGCTGAAACCTTGAGGGGGACTTGGCCTACCCGGCCTACCCCCAGGCACTGTCAACAACGAGGTGTAGTTGGGAATCATGGTAGGTAGGATTCGCATGGCATCCCCATGTGGAGACCATATAGGTTTCTATATTTAACGTGTGTATATATATATGTATTTTGTTTATAGATCTATCTATTGATCTACTTATACACATATAGATATGCACTCATCGATCTTGCAAGTCGAAGGAAGGCCTTCTACGCAGCAAAGAAAGTGTGCGTGTGGAACTCAGTGACTAAGTTGCATCGAAATCACTAGGTCACGTAAGAATTTCTCTGAATGTGGACCCCGATAAAGCTCGGAACCGGAATACAAGGACTCATGACACATGCTGCCTGTCTTGTGAATTCCCACATGTTAAGTATCCTAATGAGACCAAATGTCTCCAAGCTCGCCGGGCAATCTTGGGTTCTGGGACAGATATGAGGTTGTAGGTTGCCTCTGCTTTTCGGCTGGCCTGACAGTGATTTGGGGTTGCAGGATTTGGGTTTTTGGGGGGACTTTGAGGTTCAAGGGCTTGGGCGTTTAGGGGTGGAGTGTTGGCGTTGCAGCTTGCAGGCTTGTGCTTGATTTGGGGTTCAGGGGTGGGGTTCAGGGGTTAGTAGCTTGGGGCTTGGGAATCCAATTGCTTTTGAAATATTGCTTTCCCAAGTTCGATCTGCTTCATGGTGCCTTTTGAGGCTCTTAGATGGGCAGGGAGATGCCTGACAATCATTTGCGGATGGTATATGTGGTGGGATTTGCTTTGGCCACCCTCCTTAATGGGCACCCCACACATTAACCCATGAATATTCCGAAGCGTACGATGTACACTCACCAAAAGCGTGAATCAAAGGAATGCCTCGCACCTGCACCTACGCGACAGTGCGCCACCTTAACATGTACACGCGTAGCCTTAACATACATGTGTATGACTGACAACCCAAGAACCTACTGGTTCGATTATTACTGGGTCGATTATTACTATTGAAAGTATTATCTCTATTGTGAGTGATATTGCCTATATTACTCGGATTACTACCCTAAGTCCTTTCATTTAAGCCCTACTGTAAACCCTAAACCCTTCATAGTAGTTTCCATTTCATTTTCCATTAGCCCAATATAGCACTGATATTACCCCAATGAAACTCTACACTTTACCGGCAACCTGTCCTTCCGGTATTCGTCATAGCTGCTGGAGGAGAAGAATCCCTCGTTGTCAAAGATGACGATACCACCCGAAGCCTGGCTGTCATGGCATGGGAGGACCAACAAAACCCTGACTAGGGTAGGGTTCATTAAGCCTTCAACCCTACATAGCAGTTTCCAATTTTATTTTCCATTGTCCTAATATAGCCCCTATATAACCCCTA